GGTGGTTTCGGTGTCTCGCTTGTTGTGCGGTGACTTCACTCATTTTGTGAGCAGAAGAGACAGAAAGACATGAAGGAAAAGAAGGAGACAGGACATAAAACAGATGTGACAGGTCGGAAGGCCAATAAAAGAGGTGAAATCAATGCATCTTTGCTAATAAATTCACTTAATTTACACACTTCAGGTGGAATCAGAGCACCGGCGAGCCGACCCAAAAAGGCAGCACGTTTCTCTCCGTCTTTGGCTCGTCTGCGTTTCATTTCTTCCCCTCCTTTTTTTATTCCCTCCATCTGCCTCGATCCCCTCACGTCGCCCCTAATAAAAGCCGTATGACTGCGAACCGGTGATTACTCTCGGCCCCGTCTGGTTGTGATGATTTAATGCGAGCCAACGCACCAACCGAATATCGGCAAACGAACTGCCGTCCCCCTGATGTGATGTGACCTGGAGCCTCTCAGAGGGTTTAATGCTGTTTTGGATAAACCGAGTTTAAGTTTATGTGTTTTCTTCAGTTGCTAATTGATACCATCTCCGCTCTAATGCGGGTAACATTTGAGAACACTTCTTTTTTTTCCTCCCTCTGTTTTGGCTTTCCGTTCTCACTGAGCTGAAGTTTTCCGATGGAAAAAAAAAAAAATAGTTTTTCAAACTCTGTGATCACTTATATTTGTTTCTGTGTAGCGGACATCTTTGATCATTTTAGAGCAGCCGGTCAACACAGCGGAGGGAAAGTTATCAGTGATGAAGACCACACTGATACACGAGATCTATAAACAGGCTAAATTCATCATTATTATTTTTATTAGCTACATTTCCTTTTGTGTGCTGAATAACCTTTTTCTCCTTGCAGCCCTAAAATGATTTAACAATTGCTAGAGGAGCAGGGTTGCTTAAAAACTAAAAGTTGCTGAGTCATAATTGCCCGGATGAAAAAGCTGACTAGAGACCTAAAAACAATGCTTTACATTTACATTGAGGATGGATGGAGCTGAAGATCTTGATAGTCTTGAACTGAACCCTTGAGTTTGGTTCATTGATCAATAACGGGCATTCTTAAATCGGTTGCAATCCAAGCATGGTTGACAGTTATTTTAAGGAGATTTGATACGGAATAAGATGAGGAATACATCTGACATTTCTCAACATAAATCCTGGTGTTGTGACCAGATTTAAATCCTCCCAGGATCTTATCTCATTGACAGAGAATGTATCGCTGCCGTGTCAAACATTACATTTCACTAAAGAAGGGAAAGTGAGGAGGATCTCCTGTTTGTCTGCGGTTCACACTTCCACAAACCGGATCTTCGACACCGAAAACGATCGAGTTCAGACCTCAAGAAGCCGGCTTGGCGGCTGCACGCAGCGCGGCGCTCGGAAAATGAACCCGGCTCGTAGACGCGCTCCCCTCCTTGTTCCCGACCTCGCCCTCCTTACAATAATGCTCCCGCCGCTCAACTTTCCGCCCGGGTTTCACCCCGACGGAGGAGCTCTCCTGGGCGCTGTGGGCTGTCAGCGCCGAGACTAAAAGGCCCGGCTTTTGGGTTTAACCACACGGCTACAAGCACAGAATCATAGACACACACACACACACACACACACACACACACACACACACACACACA